TCAACCAGAACCTGCTCACTCCTCTGAACCTGCAAATCGACCCCACCATCCAGCGGGTGAGGACCGAGGAGAGAGAGCAGATCAAGACCCTCAACAACAAGTTCGCCTCCTTCATTGACAAGGTGAGACATGAGCCCTGCCCTCCACAGGGGAGCCCCACACCAGAGAAACCACAAACTTCCTACCAGGAAGGGAGAGGGATGAGACCAGCTTGCCATAGGAAAGGGAGAGGGGTGAGACCAGCTTGCCACAGGGATGCTAGACTGGCTCCTTGTCCACAGTGGGCAGCAGCGATGGAAATGGGTTACAACTGCCGAGGCTCTTAGATCCCTCATTACTGCCTGGGAAGGACTCTCCAATTTGATTACCAGAAGCACAGATAAAGCAATGAAAGAATGGAATGGGTTAACGTTTACCACTTAAAAGTGTACAGACGTACAAATCAAAATCTAGTCTCAACCTGCTCGGCTGCTGGAAGGAGGAAGACAAAAGTGGGGGGAAAAATTATTTTCTGTCTAGATGAGAAAAATGAACTGTGCAAACATTTATTAAAGCCATAAAAAAGAATTTCTGTAGAAACCAAGTAGGGCCATTTAGCAAGAATGATTTAGAAGAGACAAAAGCACAAGCGGGAAGTTAAATTATATTAGTTCAAATAAAAAGAATTCTATATTAGTTCAATATGTTTTAACATCCCTTTTACTAAGCTTCTACAAAAAATAAATACTTAGCATAATACATCACACAAATACTACTTTAAAACTAGACTTGTGATTCTGCTTGTCAAGAGAAAGGGAGGAAGAGATGAAAACTAAGTGACAGAGACCACACCTTATGGGAGAAACAGCTCAGGTGTGCACAGGGACTGTCACCAGAGAAGGACATGAAGTTTGAATGAAAAATGTTAGGAAAGCAGAAATCCCACACCAAGTTTCTGCACATGCTCTGTCAAGCCCAGCACCATGGAGCATCAAACCTGCTAGAAAATGTGGGGACACTGGCACTTGTCCCCATCTGCCACTCTCTGACAAATGACCCATCTCATCTCCTCTCCAGGTACGGTTCCTGGAACAGCAGAACAAGGTCCTGGAAACCAAGTGGACCCTGCTCCAGGAGCAGGGCACCAAGACCGTGAGGCAGAACCTCGAGCCTTTGTTTGAGCAGTACATCAGCAACCTCAGGAGGCAGCTGGACAGCATCTTGGGGGAGAGAGGCCGCCTGGACTCGGAGCTCAGAAACATGCAGGATGTGGTGGAGGACTTCAAGAACAAGTGAGTTACAGAAGAGGAATGGGCTCAGGGCATACTCCAAGGGATGTGGGGGTGGGGGGGGCACACACCCAGGGCATGTGTCCAAATGCAGACTAGACTCCTTCGCAAAACAGATCCATGGAAATGAAAATCAAAAGGACAGTCTAAGACCTAATCTCATAATTATAGGTGGTTAAAGTTGGCTGGGGACAGAGTAAAGAAACTCAAATTTTAGGAGCCATGAAAATCATCCATTTGTCTGTACATGGTAGGACAGGTCAATCTGGATAAATCTCCCTTCGTGGAAAGTGTCGGATCCTAGGGGAGCTCTTTTTGCATCCAGTCAATGCCTGGCTCGATTGTGTCTTATCTTTTTCTTCCTGTAGATATGAAGATGAAATCAACAAGCGCACAGCAGCAGAGAATGAATTTGTGACTCTGAAGAAGGTAAGCTGATTAGGTCAGGGACCCTGTTTCTGGGGAAAGGAGACAAAGCCCTCCCCCCAGCCTAGAGGAGAACTGGTCCGGAGACTCCAGCGGGGAGGCTGGAAGGAGGGCCGAGCTGACCCTTGTTGCCCCTCCCCAGGATGTGGATGCTGCCTACATGAACAAGGTTGAACTGCAAGCCAAGGCAGATTCTCTCACAGATGAGATCAATTTCCTGAGAACCATCTATGACGCAGTAAGCATCTCCACTCGCTTCTCTTCGCTCGGATGGGGTTCTGCAGGGGGTGGAATATTCTTGGTGTTGGACACTTCTGATGACGTCACAGGCTAAGAAGGTCTTATGATCTTCATTCCGCAGGAACTGTCTCAGATGCAAACCCACATCTCAGACACTTCCGTCGTCCTCTCCATGGACAACAACCGTAACCTCGACCTGGACAGCATCATCGCCGAAGTCAAAGCCCAATATGAGGAGATTGCTCAGAGAAGCCGGGCTGAGGCTGAGTCCTGGTACCAGAGCAAGGTGAGCAGTGAGTGGCCGAGGGTCTGCTGTGTTTCACCCTGCATACCTGAAGGCTACAGTCTTAGGCAGCTTCTCAGAGGAATCCCAGGGCCTCTCATAGCACATGTACTCTGCTATTAGTGTTGACATTTACAGAATTTATGCTCAAGTGTAGGAAGTAAAAGAACCCAAATACCCAGGTGTAGGAAGAATATGATCACAGGTAAAGAATTTTCAATCTTTACTTTTGCTTTTCTGTGTTTGTGTGTGGTGTGTTTCATTTTTTCCTTGGTTTTCTTTCACTGCATTATTTCTATGTTCAGTTGGGATCAAGGTTATGCACCACCATTGTCAACTCTTACAGACACGATTGTGAAATGTCGCCTATATAGGATTGAGCTTGTCACCATCCTGCCATAGCTTCTCAAATAACTAGGACTAGAGGGAAGCTCTGTTATTTTGAGCGAGGAAGGGGAATTCAAACCTGGACCTTCCAAGTGGCCTCAGTCTGCCAAATAAGTAGTGTCTGATGCACACTACCAAGGCTGGGTCAGTAATCATTGCTTTTACACTGAAATATTGCCCTTAGAAACACAATACAGAACCTTGACAGTTTCAAATAGAGCTAGGCAATCTGTGGTCTCTTAATATGGATGATGCGTAATTTACACAGCATCCTGCAATCAGGTAACATCAACGGTTCCCAAAGTCTCTCGGGGAAAGTCATTGGGTCAAGTTTATCACATGCCTTATTCAGAAATGAAAGTCACTTTCACGTGTGAAAACCCATGTACACTGCCTCCTCCCCACTCGCCTGCAGTATGAAGAGCTGCAGGTCACGGCAGGCAGACATGGGGACGACCTGCGTAACACCAAGCAGGAGATTGCTGAGATCAACCGCATGATCCAGAGGCTGAGGTCTGAGATCGACCACGTCAAGAAGCAGGTACGGTGCTGAGCAAAGGTGAAGAAAAGCATCATTTCCTTGCCAGACCATCAGGCACTCATCAAACATCATTTGGGATAACTCCCAAGAAATGAAGAAACATAGAGGGAAAGCACTTGCAAATCCCTGTAGTGGGGACCCACTGGTTGGCAGATACTGATTCTGCCCTAGAGCATAGTACAATCTAAGCAGTTCAGCGCCAAAAAAATATGGTTAATAGAAATTTTTACATAAGAAGGAGGATTGACCTGGCAATAGCCAAGGAACAAGTTGGAAAAGAAAAAACAAAACAAAACAAAATGAAAACGAGGTAGACAGTACAATAAATATTTTTGCAAATCTATTCAAGCTTCAAGGTGAAAACCGAGTAAGGACAAAGGAAAAAGACCAGGGTTGCACCAGGGGAAGTGAGACTTTCTTATAAGAGGAAGGCAGTGGTCCATGTGAATACTCGCCATGTCTCTGAAAGATGGACATAATTTTGCATATGTCACTATGGAATCTATATGAGATCATCATCAATGGTCCTAATTTGGTTCTGGAGACAAACACTCAAAAAAAAAAAACAACCCAGGGGGTCATATACATTTCTTTGAATATCACTTGGTCTCCTATCTAATGTAGCATCTACATCAGTACCCAAGCCCATTCACATGCAAGGAGGTTAAAAAAGAGACACAAGTTTCTGTCAAGTAACACACAGAGAAGGACTGCAGAAGGGGTGTGTGGGGGGGACACCACAGGAAGAGTCAGAACTAACTCAGCTTGAATTCTGGGTGCTAGGACCCTTCTTCCAGGGGAAAAAGCAGGTTTAGTCTCCTGTGAAAGACCAGATATACATCATTATACTTGTTTTCCTCTTCCAGTGCGCCAACCTGCAGTCAGCCATTGCTGATGCTGAGCAGCGTGGAGAGATGGCCATCAAGGATGCCAGGAATAAGCTGGAAGGGCTGGAGGATGCCCTGCAGAAGGCCAAGCAGGACATGGCCCGCCTGCTGAAGGAGTACCAGGAGCTGATGAACGTCAAGCTGGCCCTCGACGTGGAGATCGCCACCTACCGCAAGCTGCTTGAAGGCGAGGAGTGCAGGTG